CTCCTTTAAGGCCAAATAAGATTGTCTTCTACTCACGCTTTCCACTTAAGAAAAATACCTGTTGATTTCCAGAGGGGCTGAACTAGCTTGCAGTCAAGAAAGAAAAAAAAAAATGAAAAAAGTATAGAAAGTTAAAATTTGAAAAAAAATTTTAAAAACAAATAAGTAAATAAATAAAAAGAAATACCTGTTGAATGATTAAGCTATAGGAAAGGTACCTTTTCTAAACACCTACAATAACTCAAAAATGTTATTTACCAAACACATTAGAAAGATAATGCCATTTCTTCAATTAAAAAGAAAAGGCTTATCTTTCCACTCACTCCACTTTCCTACACACGTCCTCTGCCTACGAATGAAATCTTGTGAAGAGAATTGTACGTGAAAGTGTAAAAGTAAGGCCTCGTTGTTACTGAGATTAAAAGTATGATAGGAAGGACAAGATGTCACTGCCTTGGCCAGCCTACACGTAGACAGACGCAGACCTCACAGGAGAGGGTCTCCACCTCAGGCCCCCTTGGCCTCTCAAACATCAAAGCTTTTCGCCTGGAAAACGCCCAGTTCCTTCGAAAAGGACTGATGGGGAGGGGGGGTTGCCCCACCCACTCCCAAACTCTGTATTAAGTGAGAGCCACTTCTTTGGGGTGACTCCTGCCCTGCTAGAGCCATCACCTCAAAAAGACGCCCCCTGGTTATCCACAAAACCCGGCGCCAAGAAAAAGGCCCCAGACTCTTCCAGGCCCCGTCTGCCCTGGCCCCCGCCCCGGGGAAGCCTGAGTAGAGAGGTAGTTGGCGCCGACCGCCTCCGGGACCCTCGCAGTGCTCTCGGCTTACCACGTCGGACTTTCTCCTTCCTACCACGATCCAGCGCCAGACGCACCTGGTATCGCAGCCCCCACCACTCACTTCGCCGGGTCGCCCTGGCCCCACTTGGGCCGCCCTTCCCCTTCCCTCCGCGCCTCACCCAACGGCAGGGCAGCACAGCGCCGCCGGCTCAGGTTTGAAATCCTGCACCAACCAATCACAGACAAATTTATTCCTCCCACGCCGTCCCCCTACGCTAGGACGCACGCGTCCGGGCCTTGAATTAGGGGCGGGAACAGGCGTGAACATGCGCATCCCAACAGGACGAAGCCACCGGCAGCCATTTTGATTTAGGTCAATAGGTTTTTGTGTTTTTTGTGGGTTTTTTTGGCGCCCTTTTCTGAAGTCATGCAGGATGCCATGTTGATTAAGGGCAAGTAGTACCCCCCCCACACACACACACACACACCCCTCCCCCTCACCCCCCCGCGCACTTTTTTTTTTTTTGAGACAGGATCTGTCTCTGTTGCCCGGGCTAAAGTGCAGTGGCATCATCATAGCAAGTGGTACTTCTTTAGAGCAAGTTATTCTTGGCCTTACTCTCTCCCCCACCAGCAGGGAAATAGGGATCCTAGGAAATATTAACTGAACAATGTCAAGTCTCATTGTAGAATAGGAAGAATTCCAAAAGGAGATAGAACAGCAGTCATTTTCAACCATATTTACTGAGCTATATTATCCCTTCATTCATTGGTGCATTCATTCAGGCTTTCAGCAGACACACATTACATGCACCAACTTCATAACAAGCACTAAGCTAGGAATTGGAACAATAAGGATGATATGGTCTCTGCTGTCCAGTAGCTACAAATGGAGGAGACAGTGCAAGGAAACAAAAATAAATAAAAATGAAAGTGCTATAATTCCATTTAATAAACATTATTTAGAACTTGGCATTATGTTAGCACAAGGACTTCCATACTTCTAAAAAATCTAGACCCGCAGTAAGAAATACATACACAGAAGAAATATATACAACCAAGTATCAAGGAATTCTCTCATCCTTACTAAACGTAATATACTCTGCACTTTTCCATTCTCCTTTCCCCCCATGTTGGTGTCCCCACCTAATTGAATTTGTTATTCAAAATGAGTGGCTACCCCCTAATTCAAAGACATACTGCCAGGCGTGGTGGCTCACGCCCATAATCCTAGGACTCGGAGTTTGAAACCAGCCTGAGCAAGAGCGACCACGTTTCTACTAAAAATAGAAAGAAATTAATTGGCCAACTAAAAATATATAGAAAAAATTAGCCGGGCATGGTTGCGTGTGTCTGTAATCCCAGCTACTCGGGAGGCTGAGGCAGGAGGATCGCCTGAGCCCAGGAGTTTGAGGTTGCTGTGAGCTAGGCTGACGCCATGGCACTCTAGCCCAGGCAACAGAGTGAGACTGTCTCAAAAAAAAAAAAAAAAAAGAAAGAATATCTCGACTTTCCTTCTCTTCCTCACACCTCAATTACTGAGCATAATTCTTAAGCACTGATCTTTTGTATGTGCCCGCTTCTCTCTTACCTACTGGCACCATCCTCGTCTAACTTGGTAATCCAACCACCAGAGAAACTGTTTCCCCCTCCTTGCCTTCCTATAGCTTGAATGATCTTTTAAAAATGCAATTCTAGGCTGGTGTGCTGTGACTCCCACCTGTAATCCCAGCACTTTGGGAGGCTGAGGAGGGAGCCTTGCTTGAGGCCAGAAATTCCAGGCTGCAATGAGCTAGGATGGCACTTCAGCCTGGGTGACAGAATGAGACCGCGTCTCTAAAAAAAAATTAAATTTTTAAAAAAAATGCAATTCTATCACAAAAATAACAACTATGTGAGGTAAGGTATATGTTAATTAGCTAGATTCCACAATATATATACTGTATACTTCAAAACCTCATGTTGGCATGGCCAGACTGCAGTTTCTCTTCCTCTACTTCAGAGGCCTCCCTTGCTCCATCCTGCCCTTCTCCCCTTCCTCCCTAGAGAAGCTCCGCCCTGGCTGGGCCCTACTATTCTTTTATCAGTATTTTTTTCTTTAACCAGCATATATTCTTCTGCCTGAGTTTTAAAAATGTAAAGTATATCATATAGCTCCACCCTGGGATTTTTTTTTTTTTTTGAGACAGAGTCTCGCTTTGTTGCCCAGGCTAGAGTGGGTACCATGGCGTCAGCCTAACTCACAGCAACCTCAAACTCCTAGGCTCAAGCAATCCTGCTGCCTCAGCCTCCAGAGTAGCAGGGACTACAGGCATGTGCCACCATGCCTGGCTAATTTTTTTATCTATATATATCAGTTGATCAATTTCTTTCTATTTATAGTAGAGACGGTCTTGCTCTTGCTCAGGCTAGTTTCGAACTCCTGACCTCGAGCAATCCACGGCCTCGGCTTCACAGAGTGCTAGGATTATAGGCGTGAGCCACCGCCCCACCCTAGACCAAAATCCTTAAAAAGGCTCTCCTAATCTGCTTTGGTTTGCCCCTCTGGCTGTACTCCCTGATCCTCCAGGTGTGCAGTTCCTCGAGTGCACTAGCTACTGTTCCCACCCCCACTGAGAGCCTTCACCCTTGCTGTACCACCTGCCCCAACACTCTTCCCACCCCCTACCCTCCCACTGCCTCTTCACCTGGGTAAATTCTACTCACCCTTCTAGACAGCTGAAACCTTCACTGCTCTCCTCAGGGAAGTCTCTGATGCCTGGCTCCATGCCTTTGCTATAAACTCCCCTAACACTTCGTCCTCCCCCTTTCATACATGTCACCTCATTTGTTTTGTCTTCCTAGTTCTTCCAGTTACCATCATATATGGCTGTCCACAAGTCAGCTGTGCCTTGGCTCACTCATCTATAAGTGGAAATAATAATAATTCCTATTGCATAGGGTTGTTGAGAGGAATAAATGACCTATCCTTGTGAGACACTTAGCACAGTCCCTGGCACACAATAAGCACTCAGTAGATATTTCTTATTTTCCCTACTAAACTATAAACTTCCAGAGAACAAGGGATGTCACTCTTTTCATTTACTACCATATTCTCTTGCTTTTTGCAGCTCCAATAAACAGCCATTCAAGTGGAGGTGAGCTGAGTTCAATGGGATGGTGGTAGAATTTCTCTCCCAAATAATTTCATGTATCCCAAATAATGGATGGGAGTTGGAGACACTGTCCCTCCCACACCTCCCTCTACCCAAAGCACCACCACGCCGTTCCCATTCCATTCGGCCCCTCCTTTGCCTGCTGAGAAGAAAGCAGAGACTAGTGAGAGTGTGTGTAACGAAGCTCCTAACTTCCCCAACCGATAGTTCTCTGGGTATGGAGGTGTCCTGCGGCTGCACCTGTAACGGGGAAAGGCCTACAATTTGGTGCGAAAAAGCTTCGGTTTGATTCCGGGCTCTGCCACTTAGAGAGGCAAGATCTTTTGACCTGGTTTTTTTTGTTTTTTTTTTTTGAGACAGAGTCTCACCACTTTGTTGCCCAGGCTAGAGTGAGTGCCGTGGCATCAGCCTGGCTCACAGCAACCTCAATCTCCTGGGCTCAGCGATCCTACTGTCTCAGCCTCCCGAGTAGCTGGGACTACAGGCATGCGCCACCATGCCCGGCTAATTTTTTGTATATATATTTTTAGTTGGTCAATTAATTTCTTTCTATTTTTGGTAGAGACGGGGTCTCGCTCAGGCTGGTTTCGAACTCCTGACCTTGAGCAATCCGCCCGCCTCGGCCTCCCAAAGTGCTAGGATTACAGGCGTGAGCCACCGCGCCGGGCCTCTGACCTGGTTATTTAATCTCCCGCATCTGGTGAGCCGCACTCGCCGGGTGGCTCTGAGGTGCCAGGGAGGTAATGGCTGGAACGCGCCGTCGGAGGAAGCGTTATTACCAGCACGCGGGGAGGCGGGCTCTGCGGGGCGGCGAGAGGGGCGCCACCAGCCAAGCCCGCCCGTTCCCCCAACCCCCGGCGCCACCGCCCGGCGCCAGGAGCCACCGAAGCGATTTATGCAGATTGGAAGGACTCAGGTGACCTCTCGAGCGCGCCCCGCCGCCCCCACCTCTCCGGGAGCGAGCCTCCTGCCCCGGTGTCGCGACAGACGAGCTGCCACTGTCGGCCCGGGCAGCGAGAGGGGATTGGGGTGGAGGTTGGGGGCGGGAGAGACTGGGTACCTTGGCTGTGATCCGCCCGGCCACAGCCCAGGGTTTGTCTTCATTCTCTCTCCCCTGTTCGGTTACTGCCTCCGGGTTCCTTCTCATTTGCTCTGGGTCTCTGGAGGTCCCTACCTCCATTCCAAGATTATCGTTCCCCCTGTCAATTCAACCGAGAAGTTTTGAGCACTTCTGCCCTGCAGGCAGCAGGCAAAGCACCGAGGCGGAGCAGGGCGAGGCGGAGGGCGAAGGCCGGTGGCAAACCGCGCACAGCGCGGAGGCGGTGACTGGGACCCGGGGGTTCTGGGAGCGAGCCCACTTCCGGCGGGGAATGAGGAGAGCCCACCTGAGGAAGAGACCTCTGAGCTGAGCTTTGGTGGATGGGAAGGACCCCAATGGGGAGGAGATTGAGAAGTGAAGTAGGCAGGAAGTGTTAAGAGAAAAGGGAGGCCGGGCGCGGTGGCTCACGCCTGTAATCCTAGCTCTCTGGGAGGCAGAGGCCGTCTCTACTAAAAATAGAAAGAAACGAATCGGCCAACTAAATAATATATAGAAAAAAATTAGCCGGGCATGGTGGCGCATGCCTGTAGTGCCAGCTACTTGGGAGGCTGAGGCAGAAGGATTGCTTGAGCCCAGGAGTGTGAGGTTGCTGTGAGCTAGGCTGATGCCAGGGCACTCTAGCCCAGACAAGAGTGAGACTCTGTCTCAAAAAAGAGAGAGAGAGAGAGAGAAATGGGGAAACCAATGTAGAGTGACTGGAGTGCAAGGATCTTGGTTGAGGGGGGCGGGTATGACTGGAAAGGATTTTGAGAGCACAGTGGGAGGGACCTTGAATACCAGGCCAAATAAATTAAATGTAATTCCTGAGGCACTAGTGAGGCATTGAAAGTTTTCCTCCTATTTCTCTAAGAGAAGCAGTAAAGCATAGTGGTTAAACAAACACACAGCCTCCAGGGTTATACTGGCCTTGGTTCAAGGTCTACCTCCACCACTTACGACCTGTGTGATGGGCAACTTAACGTCTCTGTGCCTCAGTTTCCCCATCTATTAAGTGGGGGTGATAATGATAGTGTAAAGGACTATTGGTGCTTGCAAAGATCTTAGCACACTGCCTGGCACATAGTAAGTACTGCATGAGTATTAGTTATTATTTTGTATCCTCCCCCCATCTTCCTCTCTGTTGCTTCCCTCTCTTTCTTCTGATGACCCTCTCCCTCTCATCAAAACAAAAACGCAAACAAATACTTCCAAATCTGTGGTTTCCCTGCCCCATGCCTAGGAATCACCCTCTCATACTCAGTAAAGTGTTCATCTAAATCAAACTCTAGTAGAACCAAGTCCCCTTCAGAAACACATCTGTGCCTCTCCTGGGTGCCCAGGCTCTGAGGAGCCCTGCTGGTGGGTGCTAGTTATTGACATATTGAATTCATCTCTACTAGATTCCAAACTCTAAAAACAGAGACCATACCTCATTCACCCTCATCTTGTCCCCTCTCTGACGATGTGCCTGACCCTCAGGAGGTCCCTGCTTTATACCGATGCTTCTCAAACCTTAGCATGCATCAGAATTCCCTGGAGGGCTTGGTAAAATACAGATTGCTGGATCCCAACATATAGTCTCTGATTCAGCAGGTCTTCAGTGGGGCCTGAGAATTTGCATTTCTAACATATTCCTAGGTGACACTGATGCTAGTGATCTGGGAACCACACTTCGAGAACCACTGCTCTATAACCACATGTGGAGTGGCCATATCTGAGAAGGTGAAGTAGTCTCACCCTCCCCTTCCCAAGCCTAGCTGGTCATCAGCTTCCAAAATATGGACCCAGGGCCTAGACTTGGGAAGTGTGAGACTTACGGATTTTCCAAAAAGTTCCCAGGTGATACTGATGTGCAAATAGGTTTGGATCTCACTGGCCTTCTACTGCCCCTGTATTCTGCCCACCTCAGCTATGCAGAAGGCTGCCCCACACAAAGGCCACTGCCTGCCTGCACTTTATTCAGGGGACACCCTGCTATTCTGGGTTCAAGATAGCTGGAACTATAGGGAGACAGGCTCAGAAAAGGGAGAGGAAAGTAGCTGGTTTTTTGAAAAAAAAAGACCAGAGATTTATGTAAATTGAAACAAGGAACACTTCTGCTGTTAACGCTGAAAGACAAGCAAAGAGCCAGTTCTCCCCAGTCAGACCTCCACTCGTCCCTCTAGTGGAGGTCTGTTACCACCAGTGTTAAATGAGAATAATATAACCTACTTACTTACTTCACAGGGTTGACTTGAGGATTAAAAAGGAGATTACGTATTCAAAATTTCCTTCCCTGATCACTTTGCTATTTACCAAAACTTCCAAACACATTTAATTGGGTTCTCACTACAGTCCTAAAGGATAAGAAAGATAGTTCCCTACCATTTTACAGATGAGAACGTTGATTCTCAAAGGACTTAAATGGCTTGCCTGGAGTCTGTGCATTCTAGGTATATAGGGGAAGGGGCTCTAAGCAGAACGAGCTGCTCCTCCCCATTCATCTCTCTGTTCTTGCGACATCTCTTCCCCAGAAGTCCCTTTTACAGGCATATTTTGCCTGAATCTGTATGGTAAGAAGACAGGGTGGGGGCTCCCTGCACCTCTTGGAGATGGCCCTATTTTGCTGCCTCTTCCCTAAACCTGCCTGCACCTTCCTCCCTATTTAGGCTCCTGCAGTCCCTTTGGTAAGTATCTATCCTGAATTCAAATTCTGATACAACCCCTTCTCTAGCTGTGTACATTTAAACAGGTCCCTTCCCCTCTCCTCATCTGTGACATGAGGAGTGATTTAGATCTGTGGTTCCCAAACTGTAACTTGAAGTCATCACGAGAGACCCAGCCCCTGGCCTCCATAAAGACTGAGTAACCTGACCAGGCGCAGTGGCTCATGCCTGTAATCCTCACACTCTGGGAGGCCAAAGCGGGCATATTGCTCAAGGTCAGGAGTTCGAAACCAGCCTGAGTGAAACCCCGTCTCTACTAAAAATAGAAAGAAATTAATTGACCAACTAAAAATATATATAAAAAAAATTAGCCAGGCATGGTGGCACATGCCTGTAGTTCCAGCTACTTGGGAGGCTGAGGCAGGAGGATTGCTTGAGCCCAGGAGTTTGAGGTTGCTGTGAGCTAGGCTGATGCCACGGCACTCACTCTAGCCTGGGCAACAAAGTGAGACTCTGTCTCAAAAAAAAAAGACTGAGTAACCTATCTGTGTGTCACTGATTGTGTAACTGTGTGATTGCTGAGGGATGAAACATAAATGAGTTTTAATGATGTGATTCAGAATCAGTTGTTATGTATTTTCTCATTTAAGAGATAACAAAAATACAACTACTATTTCAGGGTCATGGAAATTTTTTTAGAGTTAAAAAGATTGCAAACCTCTGGTCTAATATCCCCTAATAGCCCTCTCAGCTGCCATCCTATACAGCCACAAGGGACCAAAGGCCTTAGGCCACCAGGGGGCGCCACAGCCCTGGTGCACTGTGGAAACAGGCTCATGGGGTGAATGAGAGGGCTGCTCTAAACTGAGAGAGGACTGGGGCCAAGGTTCTAGTCCAGGGTCTATAGACCACAGTTGAGGCCTATTACAGATAGGCTGTGTAAGGGAGATGTATCTCCGGAGCTGGGAAGGGGCATAAGGGTCCAAAGGGGGCAGTGTCACTCAGCACTGTACACACACCTTCATGGGGGCATTTGTGGTACTGAGTGGTAATTCCTGTCTGGTTAGACCTTAGAAACAGAGTTTCTCAAATTTCACCTCAGCTGTCCTCAGATGAGAAGGGACTGAGAGAAGCAGCTCTTGCCAGCGAGGGAGGTCAGGAGAGGCCAGTGCCCTCCCTTGCCCCTCCCTCTACCTTCCCCGTTCCACTGTTGAACCCTGGGCAGAGCTCTGACCCAGCTCAGCCCCTCTAGTCAGGAGTTTCTCCCTAAGAGGAGCCAGAGAATCCAAGAGAGAAGCTGGCAAACACACACACACACACACACACACACACACACACGCACGCACGCACACAGAGGCTGAGGCCCTCTCCCATTCATAAACTGTCAGGATCGGGGAAACTTTGCAGCCTAACCTGAAGATGCACCCAGACAGAGGGATGCCCACCATAATGGGACACAGAGACTCTACCCTGCCTCAGAGGGACAGACAGATACACACATACACACACATAAGGTCAGGGCTAATTTTAGCAGAATGAAGGAAAAAGGACCCAGGGCCTCCAGCCTCCCAGCTTCTCAGGCCAGAGCACTGGACTCTGCCTCACTACTGCTCTAGAGGAGCTACCCGAACCCCTGCCTGGCCAAGCCCCACTTATCTGCTCTTCCCTTCTCCTGGACTCCCAGCTGCCTCAGAGCTGTGAATTCCTTCCCACAATCACATGCCCTACCCCACCCCTCTGCCCCTTGCCTGGGTTCAGGGCACCATCCCTGTCCCCCAGGCTGAGAGCCTCCCAAGGCTGTTCCTCCCACTCTCCTACACCTCTGACCCTTCCACGATGCCTTTCTGAGGTTTGCCAAGTGCATGCTCCTAAGCAGAGAAGGCCAGAAGGAGAGGCAGCCAATGGAGCAGGGACATTCACATTGGTGAGGCTTCTCTGGGCAGTAGAGGACAAGCAGGAACACCGGCAGTCAGGCCAGCTGCCTCAGAGAGGGTGTACACAATCTACCTCCCCGTTCTCAACAGGACCACGCACACACATGCACATGCATGTGCACACAGCAGGACTATCAGGCCTGCCGAGGTCTGTTCCCCTGGGACCCCAGGCTCTGTTTCCTTACTGCCTACCAAGCCTTTCCTATCTGCTTTCACAGGGGAACCCTCAGTCAGGGAATGCGGAGGGCTGACTTCCCCCTGAGACCTCCAAATTCTAAGTGTCTTTCAGCCTTCTAGAGACAAGGCCATATCAAATCTGGGTTCACTGCAGCTTCCCCATTTACAGCCCAACCTCTGCACCTCCCTCCCACCTCAATCCTTCTGCTCCTCAGAGCCTCCCTCCCGCCTCCGTGAAGCCTTCAAGGC